ATATGGGCGCCGGTTATCATTCCGGTAGCTCCACTTCCCATCCAGCTCCCTGCTTGTGGCCTGGGAAAGTAGTCGGGGATGGCCCGGAGCATCCGGCCCTGCACCCAAGTGGGAGACTGGGAGGAGGTTCCTGGCTCCTGGCTTTGGATTGGCGCAGCACCGGCCGTTGCGCTCACTTGGGGAGTGAATCATCAGACAGAAAATCTTCCTCCCTGTCTCTCCTCCTCTCTGTATATCTGACTTTATAATAAAAAATAAATAAATCTTGGGCCCGGCACGGTGGCGCAGTGGTTAAGGTCCTCGCCTTGCACGCCCGGGATCCCATGTGGGCGCCGGTTCTATCCCGGCAGCCCCGCTTCCATTCCAGCTCCCTGCCTGTGGCCCGGGGAAGCAGCAGAGGACGGCCCAAGGCTTTGGGACCCTGCACCTGCGTGGGGGACCTGGAGGGGTCTCCTGACTTCGGATCGGCATAGCATTGGCCATTGCGCTCAGAGATCTTCCTCTCTGTCTCTCCTCTCTGTATATCCGCCTTTCCAATAAAAAAAATAAAAAAATAAATCTTTAAAAAGAAAATAAATAAATCTTTAAAAAAAAATAGAATTGGCACCCATATCTGGGGATCCCATGGCATTCAGGGCGAGGACTTTAACCACTATGCTATCGCGCCGGGCCCTAAATGTAATTTTTAAGAGATTTATTTGTAGGTCAGAGTTACAGACAAGGAGAGACAGAGGGAGATTTTCCATCTACTAAGTCACTTCTCAGATGCCAAAGCCAGGAGCTTTCCTGGGTCTACCAGGTGGGACAACTTCCATTGCTTTTTTCAGGCCACTGACAGGGAGCAGGAACAGAAGTGGAGCAGCTTGAACTCCATCTAGCACCCATATGGGGTTCCAGTGTTGCTATGCCATAACACCAGTCCTAGTAACTTTGTTTTCTGCTAATATTCTCCAGTGCACTGGAGCTTCTCAAACAAGGAAGAACAAAGCAAAACAAAGCCATCTTTTGGTCCAAAATGTTGATAAGCACCAAAGTGGAGAAAGTCATGGTTTTCTTAACACTAAATAAAATTGATAGTTATTATCATGGATCTTTGCCACATGCCAAGTACTGTGCTGCCTATTTGATGTACACTCTGTCACTCAATCCCCACTGTTGTCCCTGAGTAATAAGAACTTTGACAATCCCCATTTTATAAATGTGGAAACAGACTCAGAGGGACGGATTCACTTGTACCTTAATAGGGGCAAGTCAGGGATGCTCACCCCAGACTGCCTCTTTTTTTTTTTTAAAGATTTATTTTTATTATTTTTGTATTGGAAAGGTGGATATACAGAGAGGAGAGACAGAGAGGAAGATCTTCCATCCGATGATTCACTCCCCAAGTGAGCGTAACGGCCGATGCTATGCCGATCCAAAGCCAGGAGACTCTTCCGGGTCTCCCACGCGGGTGCAGGGTCCCAAAGCTTTGGGCCGTACTCGACTGCTTTCCCGGGCCACAAGCAGGGAGCTGGAAGGGAAGCGGGGCTGCCGGGATTAGAACCGGCGCCCATATGGGGTCCCGGGCGTGCAAGGCGAGGACTTAACCACTTGCGCCACCGTGCCGGGCCCCAGACTGCCTCTTAACATCTGCCCTGGGTTGTTCTGTCTACTGACTGGGGCCTCTTTGGCTTCTTTGGATGTGCCTGACTTGATCTGATGTCCTCATGAAGAGTGTCAGTCCAGTCAGGTGATGCATGGCTCTTGGCCAGAATGGTGGGGAAGAGAGTGTTTCACTTCCAAATTGTCTCCTTCTGTCTGGCGTTGCTGTCCCTGCACTGCAGTCCAGTCCTTGGCTCCAAAGCTTAGCAACCTTGCCAGCCCCAGGTTAGTGCCAGCCCTTCTCTATGGGGAGGAAGCTTCTGGATTTAAGTCTAGTTCTTACACTCTCCCATGGAATGGGGTTTCTTGAATCAATCCTGAAGATGCAGACTTGTCTTCTGCTTTCTTTCAGGTAAAGGAGTGTTGGGGCTGATAGGTTTTTTACAGAACTTCTAGTTCAAGAAAGTATTGAAGGGACCTGGCATATTGGTTTAGTAGCTAAATCCTCGCCATGCAAGTGCCAGGATCCCATATGGGCACCGACTTGTGTCCCAGTACCTCCGCTTCTCATCCAGCTCCCTGCTTGTGGCCTGGGAAAGCAATCAAGTATGAGCTTCTTCCAGGTCTCCCATAGGGGATACAGGGTACCAGGGCTTTGAGCTGTCCTCAACTGCTTTCCCAGGCCATAGGCAGGGAGCTGGATAGGAATTGGTGCAGCCAGGATTAGAACCAGTGCCCATATGGGATCCTGGAGTGTGCAACGCAAGGACTTTAGCTATTAGACTATTGTTCCAGGCCCTCATCCTTTATTTTGTGTTTTTAAGTTTTGCTTATTTAGAGCGGGGCATTTAACACAGTGAGATGCCACCTGGGATTCTTGCATCCCATGTCTGTTTGTGTTCTGGCACTATGTCATTTTCTGCTTCCAATGAATGCATAGCCTGGGAGACAGCATTCATGAATGATTCTAGTGCTTAGATACCTGCCACCCATGTGGATGACCTAGATTGAGTTCCAGGTGCCTGGCTTTACCTCATGTGTTATAAATCATTTAGAGTGAATCAGTGGATGTAAAATATGATAGGACCAGCACTGTGCCATAAAGAGCTAAGACCCTGTATTGCTGGCATCCTATATGGAAACTGGTTCAAGACCAGCTGCCCCACCTGTGATTTAGCTGCCTGATGATGCGCCTGAGAAAGCAGGGAAGTTGGCGCAAGTGCTTGGGTTCCTCTACCCACGTGGGCAATTTGGATGAAGCTCTTGGCCTCTGACTTCAGACCAGCCCAGTTTCAGTCATTGCGGCCATTTGGGGAATGAACCATCAAATGGAAGACGTGTCTCTCCTCTCTTGGTAACTCTGCCTTTAAAATAAATAAAATAAATCTTCTTTGTTTTTAATCTGGTATTTTGGGTAGGTCTTGTGGCTCAGTGGGTTAAGCTGCCACTTGGGATGCCCACATCCCGTATCAGAGTGCTGGTCGGAACACTGGCTCCTCCATCACTGATCTAGCTGCTTCGTACTGCAGCCAGGGAAGCAGCAGGTGATGGCTCAAGTGCTTGGACACACAGATGGAGTTCTCTCCTGGCTTCATTCTGATCCAGCCCTGGCCGTTGCAGGCACTGAGGGGAGTGAACCAGTGGTTGGCGGGACTCTGTGTGTGTCTCTGTTTTTCAAATAAATAAATTTTAAGTGCCCCCCCTTAAAAAAAAAAGATGAATCTTTTTAAATTACATACTGACTTTTTGAATACCTACTACATGCCAGACGTTGAATTAGATGCTAAAAATAAAGCACAAAGAAAACACAACAGGGCCAGAAAGACAGAAACCAAAACCAATCAATATCTAAGCTGATTCCTCTGATGCGGTGAGCGGGGCACATGTAATGGAGGAAAGAAAAAGAATTGCAGAGAGCAGCTGAAGGGTGGTAGCAATGGGAATTCAGGGAAGGTGACACTGGAGCTGGAATCTCAGGGAGGAGAGGGCCAGGCAGGAGGCAGGAGGAAGGTGGTCCCTGGCACAGCTGTTGTGGGGAGAAACTTGGTAAGCGGCCACTCAAGTAAACAGCTGCCATTTTAATTCCCTGAGTCACTTCACTCAGCCCTTTTAACCCAAACCAGCAAACCTAGCCAAGCCACAGATCACAGGCATAAATCTATAGAAAGATACTTCAAAACGCTTCTGAGAAAAAAAAAATTAAAAGATCACTTGTGTTGCAAAAAATTTTGAGATCCATGCACTTTTTCATACTATACATCTTCAGTTGGGTTGCTGCAAACACCTTGTATGTGTGGACTCCATTTGTGTGTTTGTGTGTGTGCTAAAAGAAATTATCTTTTCATTCCGTTTTCCATGGAATATAATGTATGTATGTGTGAACGTATGGATGTATGCATCGCCACAGCTTCAGGTTCTGGTACCATTTGATTCCACAGCTCTAAATTTTTGTTTTCTCTTTTTTTAAAAGATTTGATTATTCATCTGAAAGGCAGAGTTACAAAGGATTAAGGAAGGCCTGAGATTCTCCATCTACTGATGGATGGCACACTCCCCTAAGGGGCAGCAGAAGGCCTGGCCAGACCCAAGAGGCCTAGAGCACCATCCAAGTCCCCCACATGTGTGGGCAAGGGCCAACTTCTTGGGGCCATCTTCACTGCCCTCCCAGGGACACAAATTCTCAAGCAGTAGAAGCACTTACTCCCAAGGTTAAAAACTGATTTGCATGTGTGGTTCCCAGAGAAATCCTCATTACGCATTGCCTTGGTCAAATTGCTGTTACTCAAGGCTAATAAGAGCTGGTGGTCAAGATTAAATTGCGGGAAGGATCTGGCTCCGTAGTTTACTGAACTAGCCACTCCCTCACGGAGGGTCAAAAACGAGAGTATACTTCAGGTGATTGCGGAAAGTGTAGTTAAAAGATGTTTATTCAGGACCGCAAGTTTTCTCAAATCCATAAACTCTAATGTGAGGGGCGAAACCACCTCAGTCAGAATCTTTACATTCAGCTGGGGGAGGGGTGCAGGTGAGGCGCAAGAGTCGGGGGGACTAGTCATCCAACTTCTAGAGACTGTCATTGAAGAACGCAGCCTGGAACGCCTTCTGTGACTCTAGAATCATCTCCTACCGGCCACTCCGACCCCCAAGGCCGGGAAGCGAGCTCCCCTCGGGGTCCACCCAGCCGGCCGCGGGTGGTCCTCGAGACCCGCCGGGCCTCACCTTCCGGGCGTGAGGGCCTCACCGCGTGAGGTCCATTGCCCGGGCAACCGACGCCGTGAGCGGTGCATTGTGGTCTGCAACAAAATGCAGGAGAAAGATCCCGGGGAAACCATTGAGTTCCTGGACCAATGGGAAACTTTCGTCAGCTGCGTTAAGCCAATAGGGTCGTGGGACGGGCGGGGCTGGCGGGAGTAGGGCGGGGCCTGGGTTTATAGGCGGTGGCGACTGGCGTGGGGCGGCTTAGATGCGCCACGGCTTTGGTAGGGACGCATCCTTTCGCCTGAGCTGTGCACAGTCTGCGTCTTCCCCCGGGAGACCGGTCTAGTCAGCCCGCCGCGGCTCCACGGTAAGAGACTCGGGACCCCGAGGGGGTCCTGGCTGCTTGGCTTTTCCGCCTACGGGACTTGCCCTGCCGGGGCGTTCGTCGCGACCCAAGCAACCAGAAAAGTGGGTTTGGGGGGCGTAGTCCCGCGGTGGAGCGGAGCGGGACTGGACGCGCGGCCCGGACCCCAGCTCCTCACCCCCTCGTCGGGACCTCCCCGCAGGTAACCATGTGCGACCGTAAGGCAGTTATCAAAAATGCGGACATGTCCGAAGAAATGCAACAGGATTCGGTGGAGTGCGCTACTCAAGCGCTGGAGAAATACAACATTGAGAAGGATATCGCGGCCCACATTAAGAAGGTGAGGACGGGGCGCGGGGCTGGGCGAGTCGCCCTCCACTCAGACCCTGCCCGCGCCGGGGCCCGCGCCCTCGAGCGCCCGGCAGAGATGTCCGGGCGTGCGGGGCGGCTCGGGAGTAGAGGCTTCTAGAAGGACGCGAAGGAGTTTTTGCGCTCTCGTCTGGAACAGCAGACCCTCCGCGCGCGAAGTTTCTGGGTTTTGTTTTGGTGTTTTAAGCTTGCGGGGAGGGGGGGGCGGGGAACGCCACCTAGCAACGGTTTCCAGGCTCGGAGAACCGAGGTTTCCCCATCGGGTCGGATTCCTGAGCGCGGAGGATCCATCTGGGCGTTCAGGGGGCGGGGAGCTGCGGGGGTGTCTGCCGCGGGGCTGCCTGCCCTCCAGTGGGGAAAGGGGTCGGCGGCCTGGGTGGAGGCTGCAAGACCCCTGGGCGAGCTCAGCTTGGGGGAAGGGAAAGAAGTGGCAGCCGGAGCTACCTAGGTCCTGGGGGGTGGGGGGGACCAGGACAGCGCAGCAGTGCGTGCAGCCTCTGGGAACCTCAGTTCCATCAGAGATTCAAGAAGTTTCTGCACAGTATGCGATAGATGTACAGTGCAAAAAAAAAAAAGGAGTTTCTAAAATAATTACCTTAGCGTTCCTGCTTGTGGTCACCTACTGAAAAATTTAACAGATAGGCTTGATCCCCGAACCCTTTGGGGTGAAGGGGCAAAATGTTTCTGCCACTTGTTCGTCTTGGACCAGGTGGCAGATGAGCACCTTCAGGGTAATGTGGACAGGAGGGCAAGTTAGGATTAAGGATAAAAATTGGCCAGTTCGTTGTCAGGTTCTGCTACCCGCATTCTTGCGTGGTGACAGTGGCTGCAGTCCCTAAAATGTTGATGTGCAGCTATGTGGATTGTGATGTTAACTGAAGCTTAGTCCTTTTGGGAATCTTGTTTACAGCTAAGATCCTTCTGATAAGGGGAAGGATTAAATGTAGTATTTGGCTAAATTGTCACCTGTTTTGGGTGCATGGTAAATAAGATGTGGTTGTGTTTGCATTAAACATGACTGACCGGAACTTGGTGTTGAATATTAGCAAGTGTGAAGGTGTGATTGCCGTTTCGATGAAGATGCCCATCTGAGGCTGACCTGCCTCGGACCTCAGCTTCCGTCCCATCTTCGCTCAGACTGAGCTGTGCTTGCATTAACACGTTGTGTAGGCGACTTGGAGCTGGAGAACATTCTTTCATTCTGAGACTTTGCAGCTGCTAATTTTTCTTTCTGCCTCTACAGGCTCTGACTTACCAGGAGGTAGACTCTTCTGGCTTATTACTAAAATTGCAGTGTTTTCTTTTCCAGGAGTTTGACAAGAAGTACAACCCCACTTGGCACTGCATTGTGGGGAGAAACTTCGGCAGTTATGTGACACATGAAACCAAACACTTCATCTACTTCTACCTGGGCCAGGTGGCCATTCTTCTGTTCAAATCTGGTTAAAAGCATGGACTCAGCCACAAACCCAGTGATCCATCCAAAAACAAAAACTGCAGCCTAAATTCCAAATATCAGAGACTGCCTTGCCAAGGGAACACCTCAGTCTTTGAACCCTCATTGTGTTTTGTGCAGGGCATTCTGTGTACTAGTTGTGGTTATAAAACAGTTAGCCAACAACAGCTTACATTTGTATTTATTTCATACTTGTCTTCCCCATGTTTTTTTCTCAGTTCATTCCTTTAAAAGAATAAATATTGGAGATGCATTTATTTGAGTGTGGCTAGTTTGTTCAAGTAAGCAGTGAAGATGCATCTGAGCTGGCTACCCAGGGGACCTGGTTGGGCTTGTGAGGCCTTGAAGTAAGTTACTGTGGGATGTAATAGACGAGCTGTGAGTCTTTGTGATTCAGACCCATCCCACATCTGTTGGTGCATGGTGAAGCTTTCATATGGTAGAGCAGCTTTCGTAATCTGGAGGGAAGATAGCCAGTATCTGAGGAGTGCTGCTGTTCACATATTCAGAAATGGCTTAGGCTGCAGGGTGTGTGGATGGGTTTCTAGCGTTGTGTAGTTCAGTCGCCGTGCCTACTGAATATTGCAAGAAGGATCTGGACTTGGCATTAGTTGTTAATTTCACCGGTGGGTATGGCTCTTTGTTTCAGAGCTCTAGGATGTAATTGGGAATTCTTAAGCATCACAACAGTTTCCCTGAGGAGAGGGTAAAGACCTCATCTTTGGGCATTTACTTACTAGAACATACCTGTTTAGAGGTTCTGATGAAAGGCATGCTTGGACTGGGGAGGGCTTTGCAATAGAGGACGTGTTACTATTGTGGCCCTTAGGGTGGCCTGAAGCAGGAGACTGCCAGAGGGGTGATTTGGGTTGCTATTAAATAATACAAGTGTTCTATCACCTTTCACTCTTTTAGTGACCTATAATTTTGATGTCCAACAATATGACCTGCAAAGTTATCTTGTCCAGCTAACTGGTTTCCAGAGGGACAGTCTGAAGACCCTAAAAGCTGATTCAAGGTCAACTCAGCTGGACCTTGGGGTATCTGTAATCTACTGTTGGGAAGTTGGCAGCTTTTGACTTTTTAAACAATTGGTGTTTATTTTTTTTTTTAACATCAAGTATTTACTGGAAAGGGAGATTTACAGAGAGGAGGACAGATCTTCAATCCACTGGTTCACTCTCCCAAGTGGCTACAACGTCGGGGCTGAGGTGATCTGAAGCCAGGAGCCAAGAGCTGCTTCCAGGTCTCCCACGTGGGTGGCAGGGTCCCAAGGCTTTTGGCCATCTTCTGCTTTCCTAGGCCACGAGCAGGGAGCTGGGCATGAAGTAGAGTCCCCAGGACATGAACATGTATGGGATTCTGGCATATGCAAGGCAAGGGATTTTGCTCTGAGCCACTGCACCAGGCCTAGCTTTTTAACTTTTTTTCATCGGCTGATTGGCACCCCAGAGAGCCACAGTGGCCAGGGTTAGGCTAACTTCATCCAGGTCTCCACTTCCCAAGAGCTCCAGCAGGGAGCTGGATCAGAACGGGAAAAGTGAACCAACAACTATGAGATGCCACTTGGGGCAGTGTTGTCCACTATGCTAGAATGTTGGTTCCCACGCCCCCCCCCTTTTTTTTTTTTTAAGATTTTTTAATTTTATTGTAAAGTCAGATATACAGAGAGGAAGAAATCTGTCTACTGATTGACTCCCCAAATTGCCAAAGTGGCCAGAGCTGAGCCGATCTGAAGCCTAAAGCCTCTTCCAGGTCTCCCACGCGGGTGCAGGGTCCCAAGGCTCTGGGCCGTCCTCGATTGCTTTTCTGGACCACTAGCAGAGAGCTGGAAGGAAAGTGGGACCTCTAGGAATCAGTGCCCATATGGGATTCCAGCATGTGCAAGACAAGGACTTGAGCCACTGCGCTACTGCGCCATGCCATACCTAGTCCCTTGTCTTTTTCGAATAGGCTGTGAGAACACTGTGTTGCTGTGAAAAAAGGGATCAGCTTGGTTTAAGCTGTTCCTTCCGCGGACCACTGTGGGTAAATCTATGCGCAAGTGAAGCTGTAATCCTATGTGGGTGGCGGTTCTAGCTCCGTGTGAATGACCTAAGAAAGCTGGGATTTGGCCCAAGTGCTTCTGGTTCCTGCTTTGACCTGGCCCAACACTGGCCGTAACAGTCATCTGTTTGTTCCTCATCTGACCATTAAAAAAGCCCTCCAGTTAATTTTTTTTTTTTTTTAAAGATTTATTTTTATTATTTTTTCATTGGAAAGGCGGATATACAGAGAGGAGAGACAGAGAGGAAGATCTTCCGTCCGATGATTCACTCCCCAAGTGAGCGCAACGGGCCGATGCTATGCCGATCCGAAGCCAGGAGCCTCTTCCGGGTCTCCCACGCGGGTGCAGGGTCCCAAAGCTTTGGGCTGTCCTCGACTGCTTTCCCAGGCCACAAGCAGGGAGCTGGAAGGGAAGCGGGGCTGCCGGGATTAGAACCGGCGCCCATATGGGATCCCAGGCGTGCAAGGCGAGGACCTTTAACCACTTGCGCCACCGCGCCGGGCCCAATTTTTTTTTTTTAAGATTTATTTATTTTTATTGGCAGAGAGGAGGAGAGCTAGAGAGCAAGATCTTCCATCCGGAGGTTCACTCCCCAAGCGGCCGCAACGGCTGGAGCTGAGCCAATCCGCAGCCAGGAGCTCTTCCCAGTCTCCCATGGGCCATCCTCCACTGCTTTCCCAGGCCACAGGCAGGGAGCTTAATGGAAAGGGGGGCTGCTGGGATTAGAACCGGTGCCCATATGGGATCCGGGCGCATTCAAGACGAGGACTTTAGCTACTATGCTATCATGCTGAACCCTTCAGTTAATTTCAAAAGCCAATACACTCCCATTGGCTGAAAACAAAAATTTTTGTGTTTTGTCAAATACTTTTGGCTACTACTATTTTTTTTTAAGTTTTTTTTTTTTTTTTTTAATTGGAAAGTCAGATTTACAGAGTGCAGGAGAGACTGACATAAAGATCTCCCCTCCACTGGTTCATTCCCCAAATGGCCGCAATGGCTGGAACTGAGCTAATCCAAATTGGCTAGTTATGTCTGGAATTTTCTCTGTGGTAGACAAGACCTTGTAAGTGAAGCAAGACCTTGTGAATGTTTCCTACTGTGCTGGGCCAACGTCGGGCATATCTGAAGCCGTTTCACATAGCCCTAAACTAAGCTGTTTGCAATTGAACTTTGCAATTTCTTAGAAAAGCCCCTCAAAAACCCGAAGACATACACATAAATGGCCTCATTTTAACACCAAGCACTAGAATATAGTAAGGAGATAAAAGTTTTTAATTTTCTATAAAACTCTTCAAGAAAAGTATTTACACTGCAGTCTAAGTTACAGATATCAAACTGGCACACATCTAGGGATCCATCCAAATGGATTCTGACAAGCTATTCAAGACAGGAAAGTAGGAGTCGACTGGTACATTGATTTTTTGAACAAGAATGATTTTTTTCATGACTGACACAAATCACTGCAAATACTTACTTTAGGCCCACAACGATAAGCTTATTTTATTGTAAGCTTATGAATTGGTTCTGCACATTATTCTAGTAGTGCCTTTGGTTTCTGACCCCTAGACCCATTCCTAGGCTAAAAGGTTAACTCAATTGTCTGAGTTTTCTGGTTCAAGTACATCATCATGGGATTCAAATGACCCATTATTATTCAGAAAAACAACATGGACAGAGAAGTTGTAAATCTCTCCCAAAACCTGCTTTAGTGCCAGTCACACACACCAGGACCTGAGTGCAAACCACAGAGATCCAGGATTAAGTTTCCCTGGGAGGCCTCGAAATGGCTGTTCATAACAGCTAGAAAAACAGCCACAGGATCTTGTTCCTTTCACTCTGAAATGCGCTGCTTCAAAACATGGTTCTCATATCCGTACGAGAAGATGCTCTGCTTCTGTCTCAGATGATCCTTTGGTTCCAGACTTGAACACATTGTGACTGGTTCCCGCTCCAGGATAGGAAAGGAACTAAAGTTTGAAACCAGAGTGAATGGCCACGATGCCTGATGTTAGGCTTTCATAAGTCACCTTCTGAAAACCTGCATCTTCTATCATCCCCTTGAACTCCTCCTAAAACACAAGGAAAGACACAGCGAGGGTTGCGTGGACTTCAGCTCTGGAGCCTTTGTAAACAAGCCACAGACGTGCCATACCTGACACGGAAAGCGCCGGATGCTCTCTATGAGGTACTGGTAGGACTTCCAGTCCCCCGCGATGACCTCTCCCAGGACAGGAATGACTTGGAAGCTGTAGAGATCATAAATCCTAATAGAAAAAAAAAAAAAAAGGTAAAAGATTAATATGAGAAAATGCCTTGATTTCTTCCTTTAGCAAACCCAAGGAGGTCTAAGCTTGGGAGTCATAAACTCAAATACACATAGGAGTCAAGAAATTATGTGGGTCCTGGACAAGTCCGATAGGTGTCACTTTTTTGTATCTTTCACTGGGTGCTGCCTGAGGGCCTCTTCCCGAGCTATGTGGTCTGTACAGTAGGGAAGTGGCAGCGAAGTGAAAAGGGCAGTTATGACTCCATTCTGCCTGCTGCCGGAAGGGATGCATGGACCTGTCCAGAATGGCCATGTATTGACTCCTCAAGTGAAGCTGGAAATCCACATTTTATATAAAATTTCCTAATTCTTAAATACAGACTTGTCCAACTCTTAAACGTTGAAGGAAATATAAATGTGGGACAGCCTGAGTCTAGTTGCTTGTCTGAGAGACTCTTCCAACCTGGGAATTGTCATTCAGAAGTGGCAGTGTCCTTAAGGGACCTATGAAATTCATGCGTACAGCTTACATCCCCTTTTGGGAATGGGAAACCCTTGGCTAGACAATGAGGGTACGGCCGTGTTAACAATGCCAACCTGGATATGAGGGGATTGTTCACTTGGCTAAATTCCAGACAGAGAAACCGTCCTCCTGGTTTTAGGACTCGATGGGCTTCCTGCAGGGCCTGAGTGAGACAAGGAACAAGAGCACACATCCCTCAGCAGACCTCCCTTAGTTCAGGGAGGCGAGCACAGTTTTAGCTTCAGGAGAGCACTGCTGTTTCCACAAACCCCTCGTTCATTCTCTGTTGGAAAGCTGTGACAGCAGAAGCAACACTGAATGTCTGAGATGGTGCACGCATTCTGCCGTACTTGGAATAACCTAAACTGACTACAGATTGGTATAATTCCATGCAGGGCAACTTGAGAATTAC